AATGATTCTGCACAACATTAATTGCGTAGATCCTACTACCACAACCTGGTCCACTAAAAATGAAGGCTGCAGTTGTCCGAACAGGCGGGCATGTGCACACACAAATCTCCGTAGCCTATCACAAAACTTTCATCATCACAGTCATGAACGTGTATTTCCCAAAGAAATCGCGTATATCTTACTAGGCACAACTTCCAGTAAATAGTAATTAGGTGACAGTTTGTCCGAAAAAGGGCGTGCGCGTTATTGTACGTACCGTCAGTACTGCCACGTCATACATCGTAGTCACAAAGAGCGGTAAATACACTACTAACTCAAGTTTTAACAAGAGAGTTTAATAAAAAACAGCGATAGTAGACATGTGAAAAACTTGCGAAACAAAGAAATTCGGTAGCCTCACTATAGCTTCGGCGTTGAATCAGTGTTCTCGAAGCGGAGCTAGTTGAATTTCGCTTACCGAGTACTCTTCCAATATTTGATGTGTGGTTATTGGGGTATGAGATATATTGTTGCAAGATATAATATGACTGGAATAGTTGTTTTACTTAGCTTCAGTACCGTGTGAAAATACTAGTGGTAGCTCGGTAGAGCTACGTCCCGGATAAAAGTGTAGTTCAAGGTTTGGCCGTGGTGGCTTTCGTAAAACTTTTTTTTAAACTCGCAGAATTCTGGTTTATCTGGTTGGTTTAGTCAGTTTTAAGTATCGTCAGTTTTAAAATACGGGAAGTTCAGGGCTGAGCTGTTTTATGACACGGCGTAGTAAATGTTCACTGATAAACAAGGAAACAATAGTTGAGTCGATTAGAAATTTTATGACAACCGGATGCACCGTGAACTCCTCCATTTCTTTAATCACTCTTTGCGCGTGGCGCGCGCCTGCTCGCACTGTATGCAATGATACTTTTTTTGTTATCGCACTGCAGGGTTTTTTTTTACAGTACAATTCAAGTTATCTCTATACGTTCTGCTTGAGTCGTATCATCAAAAAAGTATTTTCTTTCTTTTCGCAAGTTTAAAACCTCTCTCACAGAAAGAACGGTTCTGCAACTATTAAGCTTCGGTAAACCAGTATGGGGCTCGGTTTCTGAGACAGAAGCCGCTGTTTCCATCCCGGCGATGGCAGTCGCATTTTGAGGGACGCGAAATGCTATAGAGATCCATGTCAATGAACGTCAAAAAAACACTAGATGGTTCAAATTTCTGAAGCCCTCCACTACGGCATCATATACAATCGTATTGTGGTGCGGAACGCAAAATCAACAAATAATGTATTAAAAAACAGGTACTTACTGAGATCGTATCATTACCAGCACCTCAGTCAGGCTGCGCAGAACCCGGCCGCTCGTCCGTCCGAGTTCCGATTGGGAAATTCCAGCGCCTGATAACAGCAACGATAAAAGCATTCGGAACCTTCTTTTGTTTAGGAGGCATTATCGCGATCGCCTGTCTTCTAATTCCTGCTCGGTGGATGCGACATGAGGTAGATTGTCGTCTTATCATCAGCATTTAGGAGAAAGCGGCATTTAGGAGAGAGCAACCATTTAGGAGAAAGCACCGGCATTTTGGATTGGTATTGATATGTAGGGTTTAACGTCCCAAAATCACCATTTGATTATGAGAGACACCGTAGTGGAGGGCTCCAGGAAATTACGACCACCTGAGGTTCTTTAACGTGCACCCAAATCTGGGCACACGGGCCTACAGCATTTCCGTCTTCATCGAAAATGCAGCCGCCGCAGCCGGGACTCGATCCCGCGACCTGTGAGTCAGCAGTAGATTACCTTAGCCACTAGACCAGCACCGTGGGGCACCGGCATTTTGGAGAAAGCAATCTCATTTAGGAGGTTACTAGGGATGCATGCGTCCGCAGCTGTTGCTCGGAGAGGGTGGTGGACGGGTCCCGACGGACGCCTGAGATAGCCCAACTAAGAAATTCATTAGCATTTAAAAGCAGCATCTGTGGTGCAACACAAATACTCAAGTATTAGGGAGTGTGCTCCTTTACTACGAATGCCATAGATACGTAACTCTAAGGACCATATTGTTTCTTACGCTTCGCTGACAATGCGACGCTATGCACGGCAAAGCGGGTGTTCCCTGCGCTTCGCTGAGACGATACGGTGCTGCCACCCGCCCGTGGCTCTGCGTTCTACAAAAGTTTTTGTTTTCTGACATTTGCGCCAGATGTCGTCTGTATCTAACGCAGCGCCTCGAGACAGACGACTATCGTATTTCGGCTATGTTTGCAGTGAAGCACGCCGATTCGTGGCTAATTCTTTTTTACCGTACGTCTTTCCTCTCTCATAAAAACGGGCATGTTTAGGGAATGACTTATTCAGGGGCGTATGCAAGTATATTTTGCATAAAACTTTGACGAGTAGTAGTGAAGATATTTATCGCCAGCCGTGTTAAAGAAATACCGCCCTCCCACCTCATGAACAAATCACTTGGAAGTCTGTCTAAATGAGGCCCTCGCTATGAATGAAAAAATGTAGATTTTAAAGGTTCGTTTTTTTTTGTTCATCAAAATAATAATGAGAACTAACAGACAAGAAGTATAGACTCTTTCATTGTTGACAAACACAGGCCCTTGATGACATCCGGTTTTGTTCACCGATGTGCCTTGATAGCATCGGTGGACAACAAGGAGCTTCAGAAAATAGCCCGACTGATTTTCTACAATTTGCTTCCTTTACTTGGCAAACTATATTCGAATAAATATTTTTGAGCTACTTCAAAATTATACTAGGTTCCTCTGAACTTAACGCACGTTTTTTTATCTGTAAAATTGTAGAAATAACTGTGATCAAATTCCGACTATACCGATCATCATTAACGAACATAGAAATGCGGCAGGTTTTGTTTGATGATGCAGAGACAAAAAGGACCCATTTTTTTAGGTCATTTTTTTAATTACTCTAATATCTGACTACCTGATTCGGAGGCAGATGACGTGAAAGCTTTGTGAAAGGCTTTCGGTTGCACCACGGCGGCATTGAACTTCCACATTGAATCAAACATAAACAACACCAAAACTTAACCTCGCTTTCATGTTGGTTTGGTATGCCCAAAAACTTTCACAGCATGGCTTAAGTACAAATATGCCTGATATTTGTTTGCTGATATTGCGGCACATATGGCCTCATGCAATCGTAATTAGCTCCAATCGCAAAGTAAAGAAAATACGTGAAGTTGTATTCCGGCAAAATATGAAGGCCGCGACCGTTGTCATTATTCTCTACCAAAGCGAGCAGTTCCCGCCAACGGGCCTAACCGGAAGCTCTCAAGGACGTTCATGTGAGCAGCCGAACGATTTATGAATGTCACACAGCGACCTACATACGGCCATTGTTGTTGCGTACACACACCTGGCGTATATCCAGCCGTGAATCCCCACGTGCAATCGCAGTGTGACGTCCTAAATTTTTATATTCCGCTGCTACTAGTTTTCTGTTGTATTTATTAAACTGCTCGAACCTCGCGACTGCTACCGCGCCCGCAACCGCATTATTGCTACGAAGCTTCATTTTGCGACAAGTACAAATGCATGAGTGGCACAGCTGCGAGGCCGTTTGGAACGGGCGAAGGTAATGAAAAGAACACAGATGCCAAAACGTTTCATCTTGTTTTTAATAAGTCGATAACAAGCCACTTAATACTGCTAGAAAGCTCGTTTACTAGAGCACGCCATGGTTAATTGCGTAGAGATCGTTTATAATGCTACATGGTCAGCTCGTGTGAGAACCATGACTGTGAGAAGACGAAGAAGCTCTGCCTGAGCCTCTTCTTGGCTAGTTTTTGCTCATCTCTTGGTAGTATTTGTAATTTTGTTATTTTAGTACTTCTTTCATCTTTAACTAGACGACATTAAACTTCCGGCTCTTGGCCAATCCCCAGGCGTGGGCGTGTGCCATTGTCCAAGGCTCTATCTACTCTACTCTACTCTTGGTTAGTCACCCAACGAGCCCTATAAAGTGAAGTCGTCATCGTAAACGTGGCAAGATTGATGGAAGTGCTGTGTACAACGCTTCACGGTTCAACCGGTGCACAAGAGCCCGCCAAGCCGCCGGAACACAAGCCCCGTACCCGTGCACACCAATGCTTCACAGAGCAAGCCACCGCCAAACAGCTGTAGCATACATCGCTATGTTAACGACTTCCCGAGTGCCAGCGCCACGAAACTCCACCTGTGAGACCCGCTGGTCTGCTCCAACCGATCGCACCACCACGGCCACCGTTCAACCTCGTGGGAATGCACGTTTTGGGGCCCTTCCATTTGTCCTCCTACGGTAACAAATAAATTACAGTTGCGACAGATCATATCACTCGTTATGCCGAAAGAAAAACGTTAGCGCATTACGCTGCTCCTGAAGTCACGATGTTCTTTGTGCACGGAAGCATGCTATGGCATGATGCTCCGTCATGCGTGATCCCAGACGTTCGTCGTTTGCAGCACAAATGATGAAGGACATTTCGATACTGAGCAGCACAAGCCATCAAAAAATAGGCAACATATCACCCACAAACCAATGAGCTCACAGAGAGGCTTAAAAAGACCACCGAAGACATGCTATTAATGTGCGTCGACGTACAACACAAAACCTGGGACTGTATTCTTTCATTCATCACATTTGCATACAATATGGCAACGAAACGAATAACGCGATCTTCGCCTTTCACCCTTGTTTACGGACGCAACGTCCGAACGAACCATGCTCGATGTTCATGGCTTCCGTGCGACAATAGCAATGAACTTGCTCCAGACGCTGATCAACACACTCAGTACGCCGAAGAAGCTCGTCAGCTAGCCCGCATGACCACCAGTCGCCAACTAGATGCAGGCACGCGGCGTTACAAACTCCATCACCGAAACATCGCCCACCACCCTGGTGAGCAAGTGTGGGTTTGGATCCCTTTCCGGTGACTATAGGTTTTAAAAACTTCTAAGACGTTATTTTGGACCATGCAATGATCTCAAACGTATCACAAACCTCACCTACTAGGTATTTCGGGACGGTGCAGCGTCTTCTCGTCGACAGCTTCAACCTCGAAACAGTGCATAAATGCCAGGCTGAAGTCATGATTCACACAGTAGCCCTTGTGCTTCCGCATGTTACAACGGGCAGTGACTTTTCGTTGGTGATGTTTTTGTTCTGTATTCTTGCGGTTTTTTTTTTCGCTTGGCGCAAGTTTTGACACAATCTCCTCATTTTCGCGGCCGGAACTGGTACTCCCCTTTTGGTCCTTTACATGTGCGTGTGTATGCATTCTTTTTTTTCTGTACAAGCATCGCGTGCAGCCTTTTAATTAGTATACCAATGGTACATTGTCTGTTTGAAAACCACAAGTGGGAGAACACGAAGAAGCTCTGCCTGAGCCTCTTCTGTTCTAGTCACCCAACGAGCCCAATAAAGCGATGTTGTCGTCCGAAACGTGACAATACTACCTAGTCGTAGTTTTGGTGCCGATTGTAGCGGCGACCAGAGTAGTTTTCGAGTGAACATTGGTGGCTACATGAACGCGAGAAACCCCATGCACATGAGCAAGCGTCCACTGCTCTTTTCAGCGTATACAGGCTCTCTCTATGCATGGCCTTCCAAAAATGCGCGGTGGAGGCATATATAGACCGTTTCCCGCAGCTAGTTTGTCTATGCAAAACTAGATAGCGCCACAACACCAAAGCGCCTTGGCCTTCTCCTCGGCTGCACGGTTGCGATGGGGCTTGTGGCAGACGTTGCCCTGCAGCCTACAGCAAAAAACGGTGGTGGCAGTGATTCTTGAAGAAGAAAAAGGGCACCTAATTTCTGTCAGCTATAATGCCTAGTTCGCACTGAAACATCCGCTTTCAACAGCGACCGAAATTGCCCTGCCGCCGAAACGCAGCGTCGTTCGCACTGGACGCGCCCCGCGCCGCCGAATATGCCATCTACCACGGGGCGAACGCGGGATGGATGCGCTGTCACCCGGTTGTTGTCGCGGCTCGCAAACGCTACTACGCTATCCAGTGGTGCATACTTCGACGATTCTCGTACGCAAGAAGCAAGAAAAGACAGTACTGCTTACTTTGCTAGCAAGTGGCTGTCTTGTAATGCACGAAGAGCAGAAAAACCACCGACGCCCGCGGCGTTGGTGGGTTCGTTTTGCTCTGCAAGACCGCAACAAGCTCGGTCACGCCAACAGCAAGCTCAGTCACCTATTTCACGAAATACGGAGGCGAAGTAGGCACAGAGTAGGTTAAACTCCCGTTGGTTTCAACATTCAGTTACGTGCACTGCAGCATAACAAGTGAGTAGGGCTTGGCCGCCATTTTTCAAAATTCCTTGGCTAACGCTCCTATTGGTCCGCGGTGACCGATTCAGCGGCAAACGCCGCAAAAATCGGTCCGAGAGCAATCGGCGTGGAAAGGGCAATTTCGGCGGATCTCGCCGCCGCCGAACCGGATTCGAAGCACTTTCGGCGGCCGGAATGCTCAGTGTGAACGCGGCCTAAGGCGACATGGCGCAGTGCCTAAGAGTAAAAAAGAAAGAGAAACATTGGCCCCGTATCTGCATGTTAATCTGCAAATGTCGTTGGAAGACGATAGTCTTGCGCCTGGAGAGATTGAGGAAAACGTTTATTTGATGTTCTTGCACAAGTAAATCGGTGAATGGTATTCTGGAGGCGCTGCGTTAGAGTGCCTCGAGCGTGCGGCGGAGGTGAACGGGCACACCAAGTCACGTCACACGTGAGACATGACCGCTATCTGGCAGTTTTCTTCGAAAACGAAACGCGCGGCTCTGAGATGGACGCGCACCTTATTACCTTATCACCTAGCTCTGAGACGGGTGCGCACGCTCCTCTCAGAGGTGATAAGGTGTAGAACGCAAAGCGATGGTTAGGTGCCACCACAGTGTCTTCTTAGCAAAGCGTTGGAAACACTTGCCTTTTTGTCAGCGCCATGTGATAATCGCTATGGTCCTTAGAATAACTTATGTTGGCTTTTTCTCGTAAAAGACGCACATACTTAAGATATATGTGTTGTTATGGTGTCTCAAATATGCGCGATAATTGCTTTTTAATCAACAAAGGCACAGGTATGAACGCTGAATCTTGAGCAACATTGGTGGGCTCTGCGGATGCGGTCGCCCATTTGCGATATACGCTGGTGCCGTTTAAAATGTCCGGTACGGTTAAGGGTGGACAGACAGACAGACAGACAGACAGACAGACAGACAGACAGACAGACAGACAGACAGACAGACAGACGGACAGACGGACAGACAGACAGACAGACGGACAGACGGACAGACGGACAGACAGACGGACAGACAGACGACAGACAGACAGACAGACAGACAGACAGACGGACAGACGGACAGACAGACAGACAGACAGACGGACAGACAGACAGACAGACAGACAGACAGACAGACAGACAGACAGACAGACAGACAGACAGACGGACGGACGGACGGACAAATCCAAATTTTTTCGTCGAATGTCCCCAAGAATGACTGTCGTCTTGATAAGAGAAAAGCACGGCGCGTAGTACGCCCTGCGCCCGCTTTGCTGGCCTTTAACACGGGATCGACCGCGGTGAATCAGCCGGCCATCGGCAACGGTGATCAGGTGTTCAAACGTGGCAGTGCCCGCTCGCCGCTGCGGAAAACCGTCTATAACAACTTTTGAACTGAATTTCAAGCCTGCCTTCTTTTTACGTTTGCAAATATTTTCTGGGAGAGAGCTCTCGCAAAAATCGCGGGAGCTAACGCAAAGTCGCGACGCAAGTGGCGCTTGGTTTACACGAAAACCAAAAGTGCGTTCCACGTGCGGTGATACGACATGCGATTTCAAATTGATATTATCTATGTTTTAGGCTATTTTATCAGTTGATATTTTGTAGATGATGTTTACAAATCTATCTCATTAGTTATCTCACTTTAAAATTTTTCTGTGAGTTCTATTTTAATCAACCAACCAAATCTTTATTTTTCAACAATTGTCTATCGCGACAGCAATTATATAGACACTCTCGGCTAGATTTCACCGCCGGCGTAGACGTCGACGTGGGCGTCGCCTTCACTCCTCGTATATGCATACGTACCTATATATATGAAAACGCTAGAAAGAAAAATCATCCAGAATAAGACTCCTGTGCACGGAATCAAACGTGGAACCTCTGAAACATGAGTGCGAGGCGTTAACCACTAAGCAACAGAGAAGCACGTCCTTCACTATGCAAACGGCACGCTATTTATATCTAACACTTACCGCTGGTAACGGGCATCTTAGAGAAAACTATCGTGTTTTCAGCATTGCCACCAAGATGGCGCATTGAGTGTACGTCGCCACATCGTCACGACGCGGCAGCGCGCGCTCTCATCTCTCACGCGTACTTTGCCCCAGTGGAGAGGAGAGGGTGGACACTCACTCGCGTGCCCTTACGTCACGGTAGAAAGAATTCTACGTCTTGGCTGAAATTTGGGCTTTCACTGGAACGATTCTGTTTCAGTTTCTGGGCGCACAAAGGTCACTGCAATCGTTGCGCAGTGTCAGTTTGCGAAAAAATAGCACGCTTTTCACACACGGCGAAGTGACAACTGAGACGCTTATTCGCGTTCATCTCTACCTGTGAGTACGTTTCGTGCGTCTTTTGTGAGTGGGAAACGTGGGGCACGTCTGCTTGCCATTCTGCGCGTGACGTTCCAATTTATTGATATCGCGTTCATTGCTTCGCCTTTGCGGAAAAGCTGTGACTTTTTACAAGTTGTTGGAGGTCCTTCAGGCTAAAACCTGTTCCAAACAGCTTGAAAGCGCCTGAAGGCCCTTTATAGCAGCATGCACTATACACCGCATACAACAAAATAAAGCAAATGAGTGTACATGACTAGTAATTATAACAAAGTTGTTAAAAATATATCAAAATTAGTTTGTGTACAACAGTGGTCATTTGAGACTGTCATTGAAAAGAAAGAAGCAGTAAAACAATGCAACATTATTTGATAATTAAAACTAGGAATAAATTACCCTATTTAAAAATACCACAAAATTATAACCGTCAAATAAAGAACGCGATACTTTGAGCGATCGTTTACTAAGTCCACATACTTGATCTCACACAAAAGCGTCATGCATCATTGGAACAAAAAAGAGGTGTTTCATCTCTTAGAGTAATAAAAATTCGGCAGATCCCACGTACCTGAGAATCAACGTTACGCGAAGCATACGGAGGCAAGGTGGACCATGTCGCAGTTTTTTTATTGAGTGACACGTCATGAAATGACGCTGAATATGGACACTAATGTTGCACGCATAAACATATGTTGAAGCGTGGCAGATGTTTATATAAACAGTTGTTTGCAATTGCGCAACAATGCAAACTGGAGCATACGTATTAGCAACACCAGAAGCTGATATGAAGCACTGACGCTCGCGAGGATGTTGGCCCTGGACAATCCTACATATATCAACTTCAGCGCATGGCAACAAACCACAATTGACGTTAACCCGACGTGACGGCTGTATTAAAGGAGTGCATATGTAATGTTCGAAAAAGTGGGAAGGCAGCACTTCAACCACTATTGACGTTTCATGAAGATTAGCGTCTATTTGAAAAGTAGTTCCAAGACCTGGCGTAGCTCTGGGGTAAAATGCTTCATTGCCACGCAGAGACCTTGACATTTATTCTTTGCATTCGTTGGCTTGACGCTACCAATGTCGGGTATTTCTTAACGCTCGTTCGTTAATTGATTGATTGATTGATATGTGGGGTTTAACGTCCCAAAACCACCATATGATTATGAGAGACGCCGTAGTGGAGGGCTCCGGAAATTTTGACCACCTGGGGTTCTTTAACGTGCACCCAAATCTGAGCACACGGGCCTACAACATTTCCGCCTCCATCGGAAATGCAGCCGCCAGAGCCGGGATTTGATCCCGCGACCTGCAGGTCAGCAGCCGAGTACCTTAGCCACTAGACCACCGCGGCGGGGCTCGTTCGTTAAAATTTCCCATGTGTGTTCTCGTAGTTCCTGGGTGGATACTAAGTGTGAATCACCTGTGGCACATACACGCATACCAGCGGCACATACGCACCCGTGGATATGTGCCACTGTCTGGCGGGAAGTGTTCGA